AATGAGAATCTATAGTAGTAACTTAAGAAAACACCGGAAAACACATCATTTTTAAACGTTTCGTAGTATATTTTCTACTGGTATCACGATAATGCATTTAGAAGAGCATAACTGATACATACAGAAACTCAGGCGTATGTATATCTATTTAGACAATTAAAGCAATCATAAATTCCTCAGGAGCACATGCCTGTGACCCTATACGTGTAAGAAACTAACATCTTAGGGTCTCACAATAACCATAGAATTATTCGGTACCATCTAAAAAAGGTGCTTGAAACTGTTATTCCTAGTAAATGTGAAGCTTAAGTATGTAACTTGAAAAACCGAAAAAAAGTTAAGACAGGTGAACATGTTGGTCGTCCGTTTCTCAATTATCCTCCAACTTATTATCAGTTAAGCCCTAACTACAGTATTTATTTCGGTGTTGGTCATGAGATATATTGTCATTTTCGAAATATGGTTATTTTGATAAATCGTCGTTCTAACTCATGAAAAAAAGTTCTAGCAATCATCTGTCATGTAGCTATTTTTTACCGAACAGTTGAATGCATTCTCAAGTTTCTTGAAGGAGATTATTTTCTATTTATGGTTAAACAGTGTTTTTATCAGTTTTGACTGATTTCACGCTTTTTAAGATAACCCAAAAAATGAAGAACGTTTAGTGATAACGTAGTACACACAACAGTCAGGTTTAAATCGATTGGATGCAAGTTTGGACTCCATCCCATTCATTTCAGTTTGGGTAACCCATTACTATCGCTACTCTTTGAACATAAAGTGTAGCTCAATGTTAAATACCAAAATCTGTAATTTCAATAGTTGAGGTCATGAGTCATTTTAAACTAGACCACCATGGGAAACCTCGAAGTGCTGGACGGTCGTTTCGTCCTATTGTAGGACTCCTCAGCAGTGCTCATCCACGACCCCGCCTCGCGCGCTAGCGCTTAACCACTGGGCCTGCATCCACCGGCGTTAATGTCTAACTTCAACTAGTCCATGAAATTGGGTGCCAGTTACCATCTCACAACACTGATAGATCCCGTGTTCTAATCCCGCGAGGCGGGGTCGTGGATGCGCACTGCTGAGGAGTTCCACAATTGAACGAAACGGCCGTCCAGCACTTCGGGGTTTCCCGTGGTGGTCTAGTTTAAAATGACTCATGATCTCAACCATTGAAATTACTACAATTTCCACAAGATCCTTTCTGATACAAAAATCTGTACTTAATAAATAAGTTGCATAATATACAACGGTTACTATCATTGATACGTATATCTTCAGAATATCTGGTGCACAGATCTTGTATGGTTGGTTTTAACTATGTTATTTTTATGTATAACTGATTGAATTCATAGTTGATTTAGCAAAGAATATCAAAGTGTTGATATGTATACCTGAATAGGATTATTTTTATAACTTGTTAGTTGAATATAGTGAGATTTCATTCCATCCTTAAACTCAGCCTTATATTTCTGAAGGATAGTTGTTAACATTTATGTTAGTTTTATAATTTGAATTTAATCTAGATTGTTGTGTTGAATTCATTTTCAGAATCCATTCATTTAGTTTATATTATTAAGTCTATATACATTATCTTTATATTTGACTAAAGTATATATATATATATACGTATAAGATAACAAGTCTCGGATTTTGGCACGAAATTCACTCATTCATTTGGATAAATAAAGTTTTGGCATTATAGATGATGTCAGTTCGTGATGAAAACCATAAATTTAATTTCTGACCTTAATCACCAACTGTAAATCATAATTGTAATTCTTCACACAGGTTTATAACGTTCATTTGGTTCTGGTTATTAGGTGGACACTAAGTCAGTCTGGTGTCGCTTAAAGGTTTTCCATAAATTATAGTCTTACCAATACTTTTTTAATCGTATCAATTTAATTTACAGTGAAATAGTGTAGATTATCTTCTTAAACCTAATCTATTTTCTTCATATATCTCCTGACGAATTGAATTTTGAATGCATCGGATGCTAATTTCACCGAGTAAAGGTGTAAAAAAATTTTTAAATTGGATATCATGCCAAGATATTTGAAAGTATCAAAATGAAAGTGTCTAAATTGTACAAGCAAGTGGCTATCAGGACTCAGTAGCTAAGTAGATAACGCGATAGCGTTTAAAGCAAACGGTACTGGGTTCGAGTCCTAGAGTGAACCTCAACTCTGAGATGCAGGCACATCCAGCTGATGAGTCTCAAATAGAACGAAACGCGCGTCCTGGATTCCACTGCTAGCCACTATCCATCTTATAATGTCTAAATTCTAGTCCAAATAGATCTTACTATATATATATTTTTCTAAAAATTGTTAACATACAGGATATCCAACATCTACAAAACTAATCTTGTGTTTAGATTCATTACGAACTATTTCTATCTTTATTTGCTACATTCATAATCTTAAATCGTCACAATATAACCATTGTTGAAAAATGACTATTCTACAATCGTTATTTCCCCCTAGTTGGAGTTGTCAAATTATCATTAGTTTATTACAAACTTTGTTTTTATCTATTACAGTTTGACTCAAATCGATGACTGTGAAGGCCATATATCACTTGTTTTATTAAGAATTCGTTAAGTTAGATGGCTATAGTGATTGCTCAGCTAAATAATAACTAATCATCTCGAAATGATAGTAATTGGTGTTATTAATGCTATTATAATTACTTTTAAAATCTATCAGTTTCGTAACCAATCATTGGAGACTCTGGGTGACATGGCTCAGAATCTATCACAATGACGTAGGTGTATGTACTGTCTGTCTTCCTTTAAACCGTGAGACTAAAATTACTTTGTACCTTTCTTTCTATGAACTAATTTTCCTGTCCCTGTGTCATATCCTTATATGCAATCGTTCTTTTATATATTACTACCATTGAAGTAACTACTATGAATTCGGCGTTCATCTTGTTGTGCTAATGAGGTATGGCAACTTGGACCGTCGCATATATGTGGCTGGTCCTACGTTGTAGCTGACTGACTGACTGTTAATGATTCACAAGTTGAACTAGTTTGTAAATGATGTGGAATGATCATATGAGAAACAGTTAAATTACCGACATTGTTCATCATTAATATCGAACTTAACCAAGTTGAATTTAGTCAATTTCAAAATTTCAATAACTAACTTTAAATATATTGAAGAAGTACTTGTGTTTTGATGAACTAATTTTTGACATCGCTTGTCAGTGATATGAATTATAAGTTTAGTTGAACAAGTTTAGTTAATAGCCTTGGTATTTTTTGAGTATGATACTTGTAATTAAATAGCTTCAATTTTCTGATATCCTGACGATTGTGACACGTAACATAACTGACGTACATTAAGTAACGAAACGTCAGAAATATAGTTTTTCTACTTATAACAAAAATATATTATTTTTGATCTGATTGTAGCCATTAAATGTTACGTATCCTTATCGTATTGGATAAGAGTGACATACTTGGTTCATTATCATACACACACCAGACCACCAAGTATTTCATTGTCTTATTTCAATTTAAGAAAACAAATAAGTTGCTGATAGTCATGATCATCATCACCACCACATACAAATGATAAATAGATATCACTAAGGATTTTGAGTTACTATTGAATCCAAATAATCAATCACTTTTGTATCGTATTTTACTATTTATGATCAAATCTATTTTACTGATGATCAGATTTCAGTTATTATTCTTTCGTCTTTAGTAGGATTCAACGAATAAAAAAGAGAATAAAAACACAAGATTTTCTCATTACTGCTGAAGATGTATTCAAGAAGTTGTATTTCATATGAATATATATGTGTATGATATATATCATGTATGCATAGTAGTAATATGATAATTATTATGATAATAATAATATTTTAAGTAAAAGGTGATATACAAATTCATTATTTACTAATCTAATTTGTCCAAAATATAGAAACCAATTGGTTTTTTTGTTTTTTTTTGAAGTATAATTAAGCCAGGCTGATGACATTGTTGATTAAAACAAATTCAATGTAGAAATTTAAATTCAAAATTAAATAAGTCCATGACAAAATGATCACAGTACATATGTATGGTTTTCATTTATTATTTCAAGTTAGAATTGTCATATTATAAATAAATAATTTTAATACAACATATACGTATATATGCATGTATGATTATTGGAATATAATTTGTACATTTCACAACCTGAGGGGTATACATGATTGAAGGGATTTTGAGATTAATTAAAATCTCATTTGATAAACAAATGATTGCATGTTTAAATGTATCATTGTGTATTCAATAGATTTTATATAATTATAATAGTTGATTAATGTATTAATATAGACAAAATGTTTGCAGATTTAGTAGTATAAAATGAACAAAAAAATGTAAAGTACGTATAAATTTTATTTGAAAGTTCAATAATACTGTGAGCAATTTCGAGAGAAAAAGAGTATATGTATATATACTCTTGCAGAAATGTACACTAACATGATTATTAATTTATTATCCTAATATGCTTGGAAATAAAGTTAATGATGTATTACTCTTCTATCCTACTTACTAATTTATAAGTAGTATTCTTATGAATCAATTAGATTTTGAAATTTGTGAAAAAGTATTTGTTCCATTTTTTCGTCTTAACATAAATATGTGATTGAATGTGAATGAATTATGTAAATAAGTAATAAATAATGGAAATCTTTTGCTATCTTACCATAAAATTAAATGGGATAAGAGAAAACTGCTTTGAAAATTTGTTGTAATGAATAAATAAAATTTTGGTATCTTGATTTTAACAATCATTTTCTATATCAGTAACCCAACACAATCAGGAAACTATAATCATAAGCGAAAAACTTACTAGAGAATCATAAAAATGGGAAAAAAATCAATGTAAATATAATACTTTTTTTAGTGAATGAAAAAATATCGATTGGCGCTAAAAATAGATCTATAAATTTTTGAATTTTCTCTCTATTTCTTTCAATGTTTTTCCTCGTTAACCAGTCACATTTAGACCTACATCAGCACCAAGTGATTTAGCTATACTCCATTCAACAGGTTCATTTGATGGTTTTTTAGCCAATTGAGGATTTGAAAGGACTAGTTCACGCATTTCTGTAAATGCTGAATCAAGCATTTCTGCAAATTTCGATGCATTATTATTAGGATTAGTACGCCAGCAAGAAATGACTACAACAATATTATCAGGATGTGGATTGTATGCAGCGCCGTATCCATTAGGTACAACTGCTCCATAACACATAAACGCATCCATTGTTGTTGGTACCTGAATAAAATAAAGATAGTAGAAATAAATAAATTGACGATAAGTTATTTATTTTTATGATTTACATCACTGACTATCCTTAATCAGACAACCGTTGAATAACTAGGAACACTGGATAGCTGTGTCCCTCTAGTATGTAATTTATCAGCGGTGCATATCCAAAATCTACCCAAGTATTAAACACAGGAATTTCGGTCTCATGCTGGCACTTAACCTTTTGACTATTGAGTCGCCACCTGAGATCATTTCGTGAATAATAAAATTCAGCAATCTCCACAGACCGTGATACTAATTTATTAGCTTTTCACTTGATCTGACTAAAATAAATCACTAACGATAATCACCTTCAATATAAACTAATATCGAAAACCTTTTTAATGAAAATAAACAAGTTGAAAATAGCTGCTTTTATATGTTGTTTATTTATTTCACTAATTTTTAAAACAACAACCCCTTTTTTTATCACTACATGTTTTTGAAACAAGAATGTGAAAGATGTATAACATGAAAATGACCGTAACTTATTGTCTATTTTTCCTTATAACGTTTATTAGGCGATTACAAAGGTAAGTTTAGGAAATGGAAGTGTTATTGTTAAGTTGTTTGTTAAATTATGAATACTTCTTTTATTGAAATAGTTTTTACATATATGTTTTGTCCTGTTACTAAACTAACAAGCTCATTTAATGTGGATCAGGAGTAATGTAGAAAAAACCTCAGAGTCGTTAGATAGTGATCAGACGCTAATCTCCGAGTTCATCTATGCGTATTGTATTTCATATAACGAACTGGACAACTGTGAATTGTTGGTTATAAATGCTTAGAGAAAACCGTTGACACAACTTATCATTACTTTAAGGAGTTAAGGTGTACTCAGTCTTGAATCTTTTGTAACTCTACGAGTATATCTTGTTTCTTTTTATTTACAATCATTTCGTTTGTTAAACATTGGCTTATTTTGATTGTCTGTACAACGTATAGGAACTTAAAGAGTTTTTTTGTAAGTCACTTTGGAATGAAAATTATACAACAACCGGGATCCCGAAAATACTTTCGACCATTAATAGACATTTTCACATGCCATAATAGATCTCCTTTTTATTTGACAAGAATTACTACTACTACTACTACTACTACTACTACTACTACTACTACTACTACTACTACTACTACTGCTACTGCTACTACTACTACTACTACTACTACTACTACTACTACTACTACTACTACTACTACTACTACTTCTACTACTACTACTATTTTGAACGTTACTCACAAAATTGCCTGTAAGTACTAATTAGTTGAATTCGGCGTCGAAGTTGTCCTAGTTGCCAGACAGAGAGAAGAGTTTTAGTACATCAGAGTAAGTCATAGGCAGAACACTCGATAACTAGATGAAAGGAATGTTCGGACTTCAGAACACACCGTATGATGCAAATAGATGATAGAAGGCTATGTATAAGTATGATATAAATGCCTTGTGATTTTTCACAATAAGCTTTCTTTCTGCCCATTGTACCGTTTCGCACTAATAAAAATAATAATTCATCACTGTTGTCAAGATTTTATGAATCTTTGCAATTTAAAAAGACATTTGAAGATATTTGTTCAATAAATTACTGACCATATAATGTTTTAAGTCATATATTAGTGTGTAGAGTATTTTCACTATTGTGTTAAGGAGTTAATCTAGTTATGCAAAGCTTTTGAATTATTTTACTACTGTCTATTAATTACTCATTTTGTTTATGAATGTGTTACAAATGATGATGATCCAGATAAGAATAAGAAATCGAACGCCGGAATAGTTGCATAAAGCAATAAGTTTCTTTTATACGTTGAAATTCATTTATCTGTTCGATTAGTCACATGTGTATACTGTAAATGTAATGGTTTACATTGTGGTTTCTACAGAAAACATGAAGTCTAATTTGTAACTATTCTAATGATCTTAGAATAAAATAATTTTGATGATAATTATTTCCCTGAAATACCTTAAACCAGTTTGTTGGATGAAACGTGAAAATTATCAATAAAATTTCAATCGTCAAGAGGATTTTAAGTAATTTTTATGAATTATATTTTGTATATATAAAAGGGGTGTTGACAATTTCATATGCTGACTAAGGTTTATAAAAAACTATTTTATTATTATTTTTTATGAATGATTTTTATCTCAATACAATGAAAATATCACGTACAATTATTTACATTGTATTAGTGATTGATGTCATCAGACTCAAATAGATGTTGTTAACATAAACTGAATTATTTTAATTCAATCTTAAAGATACATTCATAGAGACTTGTTGTTTAAGTTTTGAAGGTGATCAAAAAGAAAAATAACTGATCTAATATATTTTGTTCTCGATAATTTAACAAGATATTCATTAATTTAACATTGAAACTCTACAGGAAACTCAAACTCTCATCATTTACCATTTTGAACTAGAAATAAAACGATTGAAGTAAATAAACTGCAAATACTTTCTTTCTTTCTTTTAGAATTGATTAGGTACAATGATCAGTATTATGTTTAATTAAATTTATAACATAGCCAAATTCCATTAGATGTTTTTATTGTATGCATTGATATAAGCGACTGAAGGTGTATTAAAATAAAGCTTATTTTAAGCTTATATATAATTAGATACCCTGGTAAGGCCGAAAGTGTGGGGAGAGGCGTCTCTTCCTCTTCAAACGCTCACATGGCCACGCGTATACAGTCACGACCAGGGAATTCCTACTCATTGCCTTCTCGTGGCGGGGGTGTTGTGTACTCAGAGCGAATGTCCGGCACATTAACTGGGTTGTTGGATATGGAGGTTCAATATAGGGGAGTTGGAAAACCCTGATTCCAAACCACTGGTGCACATGGGCTCCAGGATCCCGATGGAACAAATGGCGTATGAACAAATTATCGGTCACCGGCTATCATGAGACTGCATCTCCTTACGTTGCTCCACTGCCTTGTGGACCAGACTTTTAGGTCGAAGGCTCCAGGTGTGGCTCATTAAGAAAACTACCTGCTTCGGTCTGGGCTCTCAAGTAGTATCATAGTCCACACACAAATGAAGTGACTTGTGTGGCGTATATGTATTCGGTGCCCGTTTGTACCAATATTTATGTGTTCAAATAACTAAATCAACTGTAAATGATTCGATATTACTTATTGCATTTATATAAATGGAAATCACATGATACTTACTGTATAGAACAAATTTACAAAGAAAAAAACAACAACAAACAAATCTATAAAGATATAAAATCTTTATCTCAATTTGATACAATTGTTACCACTAATTTGTTAGATAAAATTCCCAACTGGAAAAGTGTTTTTTGTTTCCGAAAAAAAAACTAAATCAATCTTTATTCACTTACTTTCTTTTGTATTTATTAATTTATTGTTACAGACTTATCAACATGGAGTATTTATATATTTGTGTTATTTTATTTTATTATTTTTTGTACGGAGAAATTTGTGCCACTTTCTTTCTCTTATCGAAAATGATTTTTTTGTTTTTTTTCTTCAAATCAATGATTATTTTTTTGTTACTCATCTATTATTCTTTTTTTCTTTTTTTCTACATCAAATGAAGAGTTTCAAATACTTTTTCATTTTATTTACTTGTCTTAATTCTATGAGAGTTTTGTCAGTGAATAAAATTAACAACAACAAAAAAAACGAACAAACGAGAAATTGTTAATTGTCTATTCGTGCATACACATTTTTTTATTATTCTTATTACTTCCAATTAATGTATGCATGGACTATGAAGAGTTCTGTCTTTGTGTATGCACGTTTAAACATTGTTATATATATATGCCCTATTTGCTCAAGTGACAATTAATTAATCCATGAAAATATTTCTGTGTCATTTCCAAAGTAGATAGAAAGAAAATAGCAATATGTTTCATTAACATGAAATTGTTTCACTAGTAAATTTTATTTTATTCTATTTTTTTATGAAAAAATCGAAATTTCAATCACTTGAATTGTTATATAAGGATTTTAAGAATAATGTTGAAGAAAAAAACGGGGACTGTTTTATTTTACTCAGAAAAATAGTTTGCCTACAATCGATATGACTGTGTTTTTTTTTACAGAGTGATTGTTTCCATGATATGTATTTGTAGTTGGCAATCGATTTAAAGTACTTAGGTTATACCTCACTGTTCAGTGCTAAGAAAATTGATCCATTTATAGAAAAAAATAAATGTTTTTTTTACTAATTTTTCATTGAATATCTACGTTTCCTAAAGTTGTTTAGTCAGTAATTGGTGTTCATTGATTCTCTAGCTAGAGAAATGAATTATGATTAAGCATCTTTTATGTGGTCCATGGTTTTCAATTGATATTAGCTCGTGATGAATATTATATTAATCAAAATCAATTTATGACCTACCCAGCTCAGAAATAATCACTTACCTCAAGACCGATATTCTGAAATACTAGTGAGAAGGCATATACTGTACAGTTAACCACATCAAGAGTAACAAAGTAATTTACCAGTGTTTCTAAATGAGCCTCATAATATATCAAAATTTCATTAACTTTGAAAAAATACGGATTTCTGGACTTCCATTAAGTGACTTAGGAGGACTACATTTCTTTTGTAAGTTAAAAGTCTTCAGTAGTTTTCTTTATGAGTGCACAATATTAAGCTACTCAAGGCTTGGGTGAAACAGTTGTTTATTTCTCCTTGATTTCTATTGGTTATACAATGAATGTCAGATTATGAGGAAAGCCACTTTCAAGATTCATCGAAAATTGCACAAAATAATAGTATTTTTTTCAATGCTATTCACAAAGTCTAAAATATAACAAGTTAGTAAGGATAAGAACAGCAACAACTGAAGATAAATAAAATCAGATGTAAACTGTTATGTCTCTAAGGGTAAGTAGTAAGAGAATAGATTATTATTGAAGTAAAACAATTTGAGCCAAGGTTTTCAATTATTTGTTTGCATTACATTAGGAATCCTAGTTGACTATCTTACAATCATCTAATGCACATAACTTGTTGGAATAGTTAATGCAGTACATGTATGTTTCATATTTTCTTCCTAATCACTGTGAAGGTATTCATTTTTATTCCATGTGAATTATAATGAACGTTATTCATCGTAGTTTGAATTATTTTTTCTGGTGGTCGACTGGATTATGAAGACCTCGACATCTGAGGGAAAACACAGCATACAATGGACCGCTCAGAATAAATTAGACGATTTGGACTTCGCAGATGATCTATCCCTCCTATCGCGTACACACGAACAAATGCAGATAAAGACAGCCAGTGTAGCAGCAGTCTCTGCATCAGTAAGCCTCAACATACACAAAGGGAAAACCAAGGTCTTCAAATACAACACGGAGAGTAGCAATGCATTCACAATTGATGGCGAAACTCTGGAAGATGTAGAATGCTTCACATATCTGCGAAACATCATCGATGAACAATGGAGGATCAGATGCAGTCGTGAAGGCGAGGATTGCAAAAATAAGGGCCACATTCCTACAGTTGGAGAGAACATGGAACTCAAAACAACTGTCTGTCAACTAACATCAAAGTCAGAATCTTCAATACGAACGTCAAGACGGTTCTACTGTACAGAGCTGAAACAACCACCATCAAGAAGGTACAAGTATTTATAAATGGTTGTCTACACAAGATGCTCAACATCCATTGGCCGGATACCATCAGCAACAGTCTTCTATGGGTGAGAACAAACCAGCTTCCAGCTGAAGAGGAAATTAGGAAAAGACTCTGGAAGTGGATTGGAAACACATTGAGGAAATCACCAAACTGCACCACGAGGCAAGCCCTAACTTGGAATCCTGAAGGGGAGTGGAAGAGAGGAAGGCCAAAGAACACATAGCGTCGGGAAATAGAAGCAGATACGTCAGTCAGTCAGTAACAACGTAGAACTTCGTACGTACGTACATCAGTTCGAGTTGCCACACCACATAAGCACAGAGATGCAGTTGTCGATTCAAATCCCGTAGTGGTAGAGGTAATAAGAGTATAAGCAGTAATCGGGAAGATTAGGGTTTGGAGATGTTATTTAAAGAGTATAATCCAGTGAAATAAATTTGGAAAGAGGAAAAAAGGGACATGAAGAATTCAGAAGATTAGAATTTGGGAGAACACAGAGAGTGGATGCACCTGCGCCAGATACGAAAAGGATGAATAACAACTAGAAAGAACTGGAAAGGATTGCCCGGGACAGTGTTGGATGGAGAATGCTGGTGAGCGGCCTATGTTCCTTCGTGAGGAGTAACAGGCGTAAGTAAGTAAGTATTCATCGTAATACATCATAAAGCTATATGAACAATATATGTATTGCACACCGGGAAAGAGTAAAACTTCAGAAAATGCATTTTATATATAAATTTACCACATAACATTTTGATTAAAAAAAACAAAACAAACTTATTGCTATTCTATCAAAAACTTAATTTTAGAAATCATTAATTCATTATACCTTTCTTAAAATCCCTATCAAGAAAAAAATATTGAAAACCCCCCTAAAAAAACAAACACTAACGAGTGATTAACATGAAAAGACCAAATGATACCAATTTAATTTTGATTCAAACAATTTTTTAAAATTTTTCTTAAAAGAAAATGTTGCTTATCAATTCAGCAAATATAAATTGATCTCTTATCAACTAATTTTAATAAATGTATGATCTTATTTTTAAAATTACTTTTGTGGTGCGTGCTACTTATATTGATATAAGTAGTATATTATGCGAGTCAGGAATGTAATGTCTGGCAGCAGAAGATGAGGCAAGATCAAGAAAACATGAGCGGGAATAGAATGCAATTTGTATGGAAATGTAAGAACAATGAAGTCTGAGGCATTTTGAGATAATTGGTGTACATTTTGCAAATTAACGATTTAATATATAGTTCTCAGATTTTATTGAGATGCTCTGTAATTTTGTGTCAAATACGTTCGGTCGTCCCCACCCGTTTTCTGTTCACTACACTTCTAGAATTTTACAATTGTTTGGTAAAACCTTCAAATCATATATCTTTGATATCATTAAAAAAATGTTCAATTTTCTAGCTAATATCTTTTATGTACTTGGCATTCAATTATGAATTTTAATTAATATTTGTATATTCAGAAGCGGACAGTACTGGGTTCGAGTCCCAGAGTGACCGTTAACACTAAGATGCAGGTACATCCAGCTAACGAGTCCCGAATAGGAAGAAACGTGCATCAAACTGAATTTCACTGCTAGACACTATTCATCTTTGCTTAGAATAATTTTTATTTAACTAAAATTTATCATATTATGTTAGTTTTAAAATAGTTTATAACTTACTTGACTTGTAGACAAACGAAATCTGTTTGATTCCATATAACTTGGATCTTTGAAAATATTTGGTAATTCTTTACCATGAGCTAATGCTATTTGTCTTAGACCAAGTAAATGATTATCTACACCATGACCAAGAATAGTTTCAAGCATAATTTCTGTTTGCCATTCCATAGCTTTACGTAATAAACGAATTTTTTCATCTGTCTATAAAAGTTTTTATTTTAAAAGTTATCAGTTCAAACTATAATTTTATGTTTTGAAATTAACTCAATATGAACTTTACAATTTACAACTATACATATTTTATTCAATGAAGTCATGATATATATGAATGATAGCCAGTGGTACAATTCAAAATGCTTGTTTTGCCCTTTTCAGGACTCATGAGCAAGCCGCACACGGATCTAACTGTTTGAGCATTGAACTCTATTCCTATCACTTCAAACACCAGTGTTTTATTTACTAACCAATTGCATCCAAATAGTGACTAATTTGTTTAAAACTACAGACCTTTGGAAAGTGACTCAATTTAGTTCAACGAAGATGTCATATTTTAGTAAGAAAACAAACGTATAATTACGTTCGTTCTCTCAATGATGCTTGTCACTTATCTGCAGAGTTTATTACAGAAAACTTTCAAGGTATTTTTTATTAAGTATTAGATTTATTTATGCAGGTATGTAAATCCACGGGACGCTGGACAGTAATATCGCAAATCGATTCAATTCGGAAATGTGATTCTTCGTATACCAATTCAGCAATTTGAAGGTGAAAACTCCAGTGTGAATTCGTTATGTTCATAATTTAATCCATCTAAGTTATGGGTGTATACTGATTAAAAATCCTATACTAGAATGAAAACACTGTCCAAAATCTGGTTTTCACTAGTTATCTGGATAAAATAACCCTACTACCTCAAATATCTCTGAACTGTACTAATATCTATTAAACCACTCATCCTAATACCATAAAAAATTCAGAATTAATTGAAATGGTTGTAATAAATCACAAATAGATGACTAAGCTCCAATTTGAAGATCTATTCATTGAGGTTTATGTCAGTGTCCTTAATTATGAATGAGTTTAACTGTTAAATGATTGTTTAACTGGAAATAAGATAGACTTTTGATGTGCACCAATAATTGAACAATTTTCTTCGATCTATTTACCGATAATATAGTTTTGTACTTAAATCTATCATTACTTATCGACAGTTTCCTTTTTAACCATGAGTCTAACTAGATTTTTTCATTAGAAATGATTTCATTAGTGTGTCCTGGTTAATCTGCTTGAATTATGTAATTCGAACATTTTTCTAAAATAGAGTAAATGCTGCTATAGCACAGGATTGGCAAAGTTAATCTCATGTAGGTTGAAACAGCCACTGCTAACTAGCATGAGTAACTTGATTTTTCAAACAATTTATTTAGATTTTCATCACTCGATAATCAGTTGCTATTACTGTCATTTAATTTTTAGTAATTGTTAGTTGTTTGTTATTATCACATTGAAGCATTTCGTTTCGTTTTTCCCTACTCCATATTTTTCTAAGGGATAATCATCTCAGTATAAAGCTGTGATGATTGTTAAATCTCAATGAAATCATGAACCGATCAATATTAGACCACTATTGAAATCCTGAACGGCTGTTCCGTCCTAGTATGAAAACCCTCAGAAGTGCGCGTTCACGACTCACGATGTAGGAATTGAATCCAGAACTTTCGGTTTAGTGCTCCCACGTTTTCAATAGACGTCTGACATTGATCGGTTCATGGTTTCAGCGGTTTATTCTCTTAATAGTTTTCATATTACTGTCTTTGAAAACTTCAGATCATGACATAATCTTCTAACGCTTATAGTTCCCGCACATTTTATATCTCAATCTTGTTCTACTGTTTAGTTGTTTATTACATATGTTAAATGGCTAAAAACAGTACTGTACAGCTTCATTAAAATAAAATTACTTACTGAACATTTGGTCTGACCTGTCATTGCTTTGCACCATTCCAAAGCTGGCATTGAACAAGCTCTAATATTATCAACTCGAGCTAAAGCAAATCGTCTTGTTGAAGCACTTTCATAAGTTGGCACTAAATATTTATGCAATCTGTTAAACATGGAAAACAAACATGGTCAGATAAGTTAAGAGATGAATTAGTCTTCTATCATAGCTTTAAAGCAACTTAATCAGGTAGTGTTACAAAGTGGTATTGTAGAGGAAATTTCGGATAATCTTGAGCCGGATAGTTTTTGATATTTATTAATTGTTACTGTTAGATGATTGAAGATAGTCTTTATTAAAATCTAAACCTAGATTTTGAGCTAGTTTGCATTCATCAAGTCGGCGTATCTATTATTTTTAATGGTTTTGATGGTCCTCGCGAGATTTGAATTCTTATCAGCAGGTGTATACAAAAATTAAACCTCATGGAAATCAGTGAATATGGGACATAATCTGGTTATTGTCTACAAATTTCTCTTGAAATGGAAATCAGCCTTTGTCTCGATGAAACCAATTTTACTGGTGGACATCTTATGTCTGAAGAATATACAATTTTTGATATCTTATATTTCAAAGAAATGTTCTGAAGTATTACAATTTTTGTCAATCACACAAATGATAGTGTTTTTTCTTTGCAGATCTCTCTAGTAAGATGATCATCTTTGCAACAGAATATTCTTCGCTGAACTAATCTTTCTTATTTTGTCTCAATGGGTATATTCTGTTTACATAAAATTCTAGCTATGTAATGAAGAACTCTCTTGATGACAGAAATAACAATATATTGTTACATTCCCAGAAACATTTTCAGTCCTTTTTATGGACATTTTTATCATACAGAAATATGATTTTTGCGTTTCGCATGAGTAATTTTATAGAATAAAGCAGATGATCAAATAATATTTTGTGATTGTGGAGTGAAAATTATGACAAAGCTTTATGGTGTTAGGTGGTTACAGACTTTGTGCAGGAATCTTTAAATTAGACTTTTTTATTCTTTTGTATTCAGCAGTAATCGTTCTTTGAGTTTATAAAGGATTTTATGATACTCTTCAAATCGAAGTATACTCTATCCAGCCTCACAGTGAGGGGTATTACTGGATATGATGTTGATCGAGATTTACCTCCTTCATGACTGAACTTTTTACCCGACGGGGTCATTTGGTAGCAACCGATTTCTATGGTGCTTAGTATTGGTCAGACTCTAGCAGTCAACTCATTCAAAAAGTCACCTGTTTGCCAAGTAACTCAACAACATCACCAAATTCTATTTGTCGTTTTCTTCAAAGTTAGACAACATGATATTGGTCACTACTTTGTAATCTGTTAGTACAAATTTATGTTTACATACCGTGATTTGGGTGGTAGCATATCATATCTACTTTTTTATCGAATGACTAAATTTTATTTGGGAAAAAACGAAATTATGCAAGTAAATTGTATTTCCCTTAATCCCATGTAGATGTGTGATGAACGAACACTCAGGTGTGGAAAACCAATTTGTTTGATGTAAAATTACACTGTGTTCATAAAATATGAAAGCCATGCACCGTTTGCACATCTTCCATCAGTTTTCTATTACAAACTTAATCTTTCCTTCATTCCTGTCGTTTTTACAGTTACTCTGTTTACACTTCTGTTCTCTTCTATACTATCGTTTGCTGCCAGGCATTTCACTTCTGATCGGTGTTACATAATACTTACATCTGTCAACATAAGTAGCATACACAACAGAAGTAATGAAGGGTTAATCGCATTATTATTGGTATTTTTTCGAGCTTTGTTGACTATTTCTATAATGTATTTTTGAATTAGGAATTAAAAGACAACTTGTATCCTATCTACCATAAACTTTATTGCAACTAAAATGCTTTTGTGATTATGATCATGATTATTTTCAGTTCTGTACTCAAAGTGTACTGAATAATTTTCCTACTAGTTATTATGTAATAAAGTATTAATAGTCAATTAACGGTTACTGAAAAAAATAGTAATCGTGAGGCTTATTGAAGTTGTTAGATGTGAAAATAACAGTTTAATAGACCAATAAATTACCATATATATACCCATCGTTAGGTAGTTCAAGCTAAACATCAGCGAGCTGCGTATGTCATGTCCTAGTCATCATTCATCATCAGAGTGTGAATAACATCTTGAGAGAATTTTTAATACTCAGTCGATTCAAGCTCATATAACTCAGTGTCCTAGTTACAGGTGTTATGACGGAGTTCTTCGGATCGCACCTGACCATTTTAACTAAGGAAAACTCACGAATATTTGCTGTAATAATTAACTCAGGTTTACTGGTGAACACAATTATTTTTTGTAAAGATATACAGCATTATTTCGCATGAGTACATTTCATTCGAAGCAAATATGAGTTCAAAAGTGATCAATTGTTAATCTTATAATGATACTAGAGAAAACAGTATTTATGTAATGACATGGTTTTCTGTTTGATCAAATATTATATATATCATTTTCATATTTTATATTCCCCACTATTGAAGACAGCTGCCCGGCAAAAAGTTTTAGACACATTTCCCAACTGTGCAGATATTTCAATAAACCTTCCTGTTTTAGATTTGTTCGAAAGAAATAATTGTAAATCCTTTACGTACTCACGTGATATTATGAAAGGCTTACAATTTATCACGGTACTAAATGCTGAAACACTGAACTCATCGGCATATTCTCCACATTCTCTGCTCTTTGAAAAAAGAAGCCGATTGACGATTATATTGGAATTCGTGTGTTCAATAATTGGTTGTAACACCTAAACTAAGAGTAAAGCTTCATTATTTAAGATGAGTGGAAAATCATGACTATTGTAGAAGTACTTATAAAACATAACTCTTGAATAATAATAAGTATTCGAGGTTTTATTTCAGTGCTACACAACTGATGTCGAAAATTCTTTTCTTATGATAAAAAATAAAACTATTATTCCTATTTAATCAGTGGTTGTCCTACGTAAATAAAAAAATCAATCAGTTAAGCTTTGTGAACTGTTATTATTCCATTGAATACAAACAAGGCAGATAGTTTTCTGATTAATTAATTGTTCAGTCAACTACTTTCGATGTTGTTTGTTTCAGTTAGAAGCTTTTAGTACAATAAACGAAATGAATCAACCTAGAAATAACTTTTGTACAAGAGCGACCGAATACAGAGATTAGTTGATATGCAAATTTTTCTTAAAAATTATGATTTGATATTCCGAAATGAATGTATATATTATTCATTATTACTATTATTATTATTACTGTAGAACTTACTTGAAATGAGCTAATTGTAAAGCTAATTGAATGAATGAATCTGGGCTCATGTTAACAGTTTTTGGGAATTCTCGTCCATATTGTTTATAACGAAGTATGTATAAGTCCAGATCATCTGCTATCCTAAAACAATTAAAAAAGATAGTTTGTAATTATTTTCACCAGTAGATTTATAACTAATGAATAGCATTTGTATTTTAATAGTGAAAAATATGAGTATACATTTTTTGATGAAAAGTACCTTTAGGTTGATATCATGAATGGATTGATGTTAAACTACCATTAAAAACCTGGAAGCACTGGATGACTGTTTCGTCCTAGTATGGGACTTCTCAGCAGTGCGCGTTCAGCGAGAAGCCGTGACCAGTGAAGTTCAACCGTGTCTGTTGTGAGGTGGTTACTCACTGAGGACAATGTTGGATAGTCGCCCAATATCGTGGAGTTGTTGGAGTTAGACACCGATAGATGCTGGCTCAGGGATCTATAGGTTAAGCGATCGCGTGTGAGACCAAAGGTCCCGTGTTCGAGTCCCTTCGGTGCGGGATCGTGGATATGCACTTCTGAGGCGTCGCATACTAGGACGAAACGGCCGTCCAATGCTTTCAGGTTTTCAACGGTGGTCTAACATTCATCCATTCATGACATCAATCTAAACTCAACAATCTCCGTAACCCTATGCTGAAAATTTTCCTTCTTGAAGATAATCGATTCTACTGGTTAATCATAATATAGATAATAATATTAATAACGGTAATGCCTTTCTTATTACTCTTTTTATCCTTCATAAACTAAATAAATTTTATTCGTTTGTAGTTTAGAAATGTTTGATGTAGTTTATGCTATTTGTTCGAATTCATTGGAAAACAATAGTTTTAACGCTTATTGACCACTTATCGAGTTTATTTACATAAATAATAGTCAATATTAGTTGCTTAATATGTGAATGTAATAATTCTATACCCTGTAGTTCAAAGTACGTCCTACTGAAAGTAGTATTTACTGGCTATGATACAATTGAAAAATTGTCAGTCTAATGTATATTTTAATTTCAAAAGAAAGTTTATAATTATATTTTAGTAAAAAAGATACTAATAATCATCTATATTAAATTCACTTGGTATTGTTTATTTGAATCTTCCCATTGATGTTTAGGACTGCAGTTGATCAGTCTCTTATGGGCATATGTGCACACTGTGCGTATTGCTTCGTTATTGCCTTAATTAACAAGCAATATATACAAAGATGGATAGTGGCTAGCACTGAAATACAGAGCACACACTTCGTTCTATTTGGGACTCTTCAGCTGAATGTAACTGCATTTCAAGGTTGATGTTCACTCTAGGACTCGAACTCAGTACCGTTCGCTGCAAACTCCATCGCGTTATCCATTTAACTACTGATTCCTATTAGACATCTGACAAGTCTCAAATAGGACGAAACTTGTGTCCTGGATTCCACTGCTACCCACTATCCATCTTTCCTTAGAATCATCATTATTGCTTATCAAATTATTCAGTAGTTTTATGAAAAAGTTTGAGGTATCTTTAACTGTGATTATTTACTGCAAAAACTGATATAAGTATGAACAGATAATGATATTTAATTCAGTAGTAAATATAGAATAGTTTACTCTTCATGATTTTCTATTAATTCACACTTATCAAAAATCATAAAATAACTAAAACTCTCTCATCATATATTCAAATATATGTTGAGATTGAACAATTCAAGTCACGTTTTTTTTGTTTTTTTTTGAGGGTCATTCAATGAAATAGCATAGCTAAAAGAAGATAATGAAGTTTTCTAAGTATTTTTTTTGTATTTTTCAATCCATAGGTAAATAAAATTAAATATTATCAATTTAGGAAAAATTCGGTTTTTTGTATAAATTAATCAACATCTAAGGGAAAAAGCATAATTTAATTAAATAATAAATAGTTAGTATCCAAATGAACAAAAAGAAAAAGGGGAAGAAGGGAGAACAGGGATAAACGCTAACAAATCGAATTTATTTTAATTAAAAGCTAGTGAATTAACCAAAGAAAAGCTTTTTTCCTAATTTTCTGCATAAAATAACCGAAGAAATTGGAAGAATGTTTTTTTTGAAGGAAGTTTTACTTGAAAGAAAATAGGTAAATAAAATGTAATACTCTTTAATTAGATTTGGAATGATAAACACTTGTCGTTCAGTGCTTCCAGATATTTCATGGTGATCTAACTTCAATTGACTCATGATCTCAACTATTGAAATTACTACAATCTCCACAAAACCTTTTCTGATATTTGTCATTATGTTAAGGAAAATATATAAACAAAATGATATCAACATAGTTTTATCACGTAGGAATTCGAATCCCACTTTCTATAATGGTTATTATAAATGATAAATAACTGGCTGAATTGACTGTGGTTGAGTGAAAACTGCATATTAATCCAAATTAATGATACAAGCTCACAATGAACAGTTATCAGAAGAGAGAATAACTCGTCACTCATAAGCAAAATATTTTATACAAAATAACTAGGATTAGGCTTTACTTAAAATGTTTATGAATGTTAGTTTATGGTCTTGTAAACTTTTGACGAATTTATAAGATTAAGGATTGATTGTTAGGGTAACTTGCTACCTATCACATAACAGTTGATAGATTCTACACCTTCTTAGTTTAAAACTCCCTAGTCACAGCTTAACAAAGCACGAGCAGCATATTCACAAGTGAAGAACATTTGGAACTCAAAACAACTGTCAGCCAACACCGAGGCCAGAATTTTCAAAACAAGTGTCATGACAGTTCTCTACTGTATGAGGTGGAAACTTGGAGAACTACGAAAGCCATTATCCAGAAGATACAAGTGTTTATTAACAGTTGTCTACGCAAAATACTTCGGATCCGTTTGCCAGACACTATCAGCAACAACCTACTGTGGGAAAGAACAAACCAGATCCCAGCGGAGAAAGAAATCAGGACGAGTCGCTGGAGGTGGATAGCAAACACTTTCGTTTTGTTAATACAGGCTATGGCTTATCCTCGTCAAAAGGTATTCAAACAAAACATTTCTACTGAGTTTTCACCTGCATTTTGTCGATTCTTAATGACTGCGCTCACGTTTTATATGGATCTATTTTGAAATGAATAACTAATCATCTGAATTCGTCAGTGACACCATCTCTGGCTTCCGAATGAATTGATTAAAATGTTGTTTTTTTTAGAAACAATGTATCGCATTAATTTTATACATCCATTTGTCCAGTATTTATGATTGTTTTGTTTAGGTATTTAAGCACACAACAACTATTTTAATGGATAATTTGTTTAGATTTCCTCGGTTCAGAACTTATTTTTTGAGATGCCTCGAAATGATGGAAATACCTCAAGTTATCTTTTACCCATTTTATCCTTAATTTAATGATTTGTAGATATTTGAAGATAGTTCTTTCTACCTATTGGAATCAGCTAAGGAACTCTTAAAGATTTGAAGGCTCACCAGTGTCTCTATTCGTTATTAAGACTTGAAATGTTGACTATTAGATTACAACTCACTGACCAAGTGCTTTCACATAAGTCTTAAGTGCAATCATGTTACTGTTGAGTTTAAAGCTAGGACGAAAAGGATATTTATCACTTCTTGATTCTCAACAAGTTATCAGCTGATGAGATATTATGATTAAAACTACCCTGGTTTTACTAAATTATATAATCGAGAAAAGAAAGAAGCTACTTACTTATCAATTTCATTCAAGGCGTAGTCAATCATTGATTTTGAATTATTGTCTAAATTCCATTTCATTCTTCTCGGATACGCCAATTCACATACAGATGGGAATCGAACTAATTTCCATCGTTTTACTTCTTTCCTAGAATTCAAATAGGAGGCAAATACCGTCTTTATTTTATCTTGCTTAAATTAACATATTCTTGAGGGCAAATTATTCTATAATAACATTATCTCTGTCAAATAAAAAGCTATATCTTTTTGTCAATACTGTTGTAGTGTGATAATAAGTATTATTTATCTCATGTTCTTTTTAATGGAGACATTCGAATGAATACCTACTGATGGTTAAGTTCCAGTGACCGCTGGATAAAATCTACCCTAGAAACTACTAAAAATTAGTGGGGAAGTCGTTTTATGTACAAACGAGGTTTTTCAACATGTTCAGTAATTAAATTGTGTTCTCATTACGATAACCTTCAGTTAGTAATTAAATATTGATAGATTAACTAGTGATTAGAGAATGAAAGATTTTGTTTCAGTTTGAAGCAGTTTCTATTTATGAATTGGTTTCATTTAAAGAATTTCTGACAATTAACAATAGCTCTGTCGTATTCTATGATTTATTAATATTACGTATTGATCATTTTCACCAAGGTCAAAGCTGAGATTATTCAAGCTCCACAAGTAAAATGATCAGTTTTTGAACTTTCCAACTACTTAATGAGGACATTATTTAAAATGCTCTCGAAGTTATATTCCATTCAGCAAATTGAATAAGGCTCAATAACTTACATATATTGAAGAATATGTTCTATCAGACGTACTACAGCAATTCCTTCAGCAACAGAATGTTCATAATTAAGACCACAATTACCGTCACGGGAAATGATAAACTGAAAAATGAAAGAAAAGCAGTATTTAAGTGTACTCACATGAATCTGAAATATGGAAATAGAAATTGAGAATACAAATGTACAAATATATTTTTGGTACTCATTTATAATTATCAGTAAAGGTTGGGGAGATTATTGAGTTCAGATTGATATAATGAATGGATCAATACTAGGCCACCATTGAGAACCTGGGAACATTGGACGGCCGTTTCGCCATAGTATGGGACTCCTCAGCAGTGCGCATCGACGACCACACACGTGGAACTCGAACTCCGGACCTTCGGTCTCGCATGCGAACCGTATACTGATAATTATCATGTGCTCACCAGTGACTTGGTTCAAGATAGTTTTCCTGTAGTTCAAGTGAGAAGCTTTGACCAATGGAGCTCAAATGTGTCTCTTGTTGAGCAGTTACTCACTGAGGACGGTGGTGGACGGTCGCGCAATATTGTGTATTGGTTGAAGTTAGACACTAACACCGTTGAATACCGGCTCAGCAGCGTAGATGTTGAGCGTCTGCGCGTGTACTACTGGGGAGTTACATACTAGAACGAAATGGCCGTCCATTGTTTACAAGTTTTCAGTGATATTCTAACATTCATTCTTTTTATGATATCAATCTAAAATCATTTATAGGACTGTAAAGTTTACTTTCATTCAATTTAAATGAATTCTCAGCGTCTCCATCAAGCATTTAACAGCGGATTTAATAAATAGGCCACAAAGTTTCATTTTTCTGATAAATAAAGTCCGAACGAAAAATATATTCCTTCCCTAAGATTTGAACGCATTGTTTCTGAATTTATATTTGACTAAATTTGTTAATATAGATCACTGAATCTTAAATCTGTTATTAGAAAAATATTGTGATCATCACAATATCTACTACCTATACCTTAGGTTACCTTTCAGGTTACGAATGAGAAATACTGAGAAATTTTGAAGTAGAACAAAGCAGGAGTCTAGTTCCTTTTAGTTTTCAATAGTTTGTTCCGGCTGATATAATTTTATGATGAATATGGATTGGAAGTTATTTTATCATTATGAGCAATGATTTCAGTCCTAAATATCAATGAGAAGATTCAAACAAGCAATACAAAAATGAACTAAACTTCTCCCCATTACACAAGCTAACATATAACTATGCTTAGTAGCTAAATGGATAACGCGAAGGCATTCGAAGCAAACGGTACTGAGTTCGAGTCCCGTAGCAAACATCAACTCTTCACAGGTACATCCACTTGACGAGTCGCAAATGTGTCGAAACGCTTGTTTTCGATTTCACTGGTAGCCACTATCCATATTTGTTTGTGATGCTTGTGAATTAAGGTAATATCAAGGCAATCCACACGGGATGTATATATGCCAATAAGAGACTGAACAATTGCAGTTCTAAACATCAATTAGAAGATTCAAACAACCAATACAAAAATGATATATAATTAATTGTTCTATTATATTTGAATTATATGTGAGTAGAATTGCAAATTATGATTGTTAAATAAACTGAATATTTACATTATAAAAAGAATAATTTTATATCTGTTATAGTATTCAATATAATCATGGAAAGTGCTGTTGGCTGCTGAAACTGACCGTTTATATGTAAATAGCTAATAGTTTGATTTATTTTTCTTTTAAAAATTAGAAAAATGTAAGATAATTAATCAAAATCTATTTAATAGTAATAAATAAAAAAGTAGTATGTTTGATTATTAAGTGAATTTAAACTTAGTAGATGGTTAGTAGAAATATCAAATAGACTTGAAATAAAAATATTTAATCCTTAGGAAAGTTAGTACTTCTTAATTTCCATCATTGGTTTAGGTAAGATCAGTGTTGATGATTTAAACTATAGAAATACTACAATCTACACAAATCCTCTTGTATTGATAGTTATTAAACAAATTGACAACAGTATAAGTACTGTGTGATATGAATATTATAGAATCATCCAGAGAATGAAGCTAAGAGGGGAATACAATTTTCTAACGTTTTAAACTATCAAAAACTAACTTTATTACTTTCATATTCCTAGTTAAATTTGTTATCCGACGAAAGATATCCATGATCTTGTAAATCATTTATACACAAAATAAATTTGTTATTTATAACTATTCAGTTCACTTTCCATCTATTATAATGAATGAAATTGAAATAGTCTAATATTCATTTTAATTTGCTAATATATTATTCTAACAATAGAATAGGAATATTGAAATAATAATATTTTCCCACTAATCATTCATATTAATTTGTGTTTGCAAGTATTTAGCAACCATTGTCTATGTAAGGTACTCAATGTTTTTTTTAGCCGAAAATCATCAGCAACAGCATACTATGGAAGAGAACAAACCAGGTTCCAGCTGAAGAGAAAATTAGGATTAAACGTTGGAAGTGGATAGAACACACGTGGAGAAAATTGTTAAACTGCATCACGAGACAAGCAAGCACTAACTCGAAATATTGAAGGGAAACGAAAAAGAGGAAGGCCGAAGAACATACTATACCGAGAATCGGAAGCAGACATGAAAAGGATGAATAGCAACTGGAAAGGATTGTCCATAATAGAGTAGGATGGGGAATTCTGGTGAATGGCCTATTCTCGTTCATGAGAGGTAACAGACATTAGTAAGTGTATTCTTTCATATCTATTCGTCTAACTATTACTTTGTAATTATACCTATCTTATGGTATTTATGCAGTGCTTTATTTTTTGTTCATTTTATTATAAACAATGAGAAAATTTTTCTATAAAGTTTTGAGCGACTAGTTAATCGAAAAGAAAATAATCTAAAGAAATAAAAATCAATATATAAAGTCATTTAATTTCTGATTTATTTCTTATTTCGCTAGTTGAAATCATGAGTTAATTGAGGTTAGGCCACCACGAAAAACCTAGAAGCACTGGACGACCGTTTTGTCCCAGTATGAGACTCCTCAGCAGTGCGTATCCACGATCCCGCACCGCCCGCGAGATTCGAACCCAGGACCTATCAGTCTCGCGCGCGAGCGCATAACCATTAGACCACTGAGCCAGCATCCAACGACGTTAGTGTCTAACTTCAAACAATCTATGAAGTTGTGCCACCGTACACCATTGTCTTCAGTGAGCTGATATTTCACAACAGACCTTGTTGAACCACTGGTCACGGCTTCTCACTAGAACTCCAAGAAATGTCTCTTGATGTCAGTCACTAGTGAGCAGATGATTATTATCAGGTGTTTTGTGGAGATTTTAGAAATTTCACTGGTTGAAATCATGAGTCAATTGAAACTAATGGTTAAGCGCTTTCGCGCGAGACTGATAGGTCATGAGTTCAAATCTTGCGGTAGACGGGATCGCGGATGCGCTCTGCTCAGGATTCTCACACTAGGACAAGACGGCCCTCCAATGCTTCCAGGTTTTCCATGGTAGTCTAGCTTCAATTGATTCATGAGTTCAACCATTGAAATTTCTAAAATCTCCACAAAACTCCTGATATTATTTCTTATTATTAATTTCTAAGTTCTATTTACCACTAATCGTCTTTTTTATTTTAAATACTAAGTTTAATAAATTTTTATATTCTAAAATAAATTGAAGTAGTATCTGATTTTTAAAAGATAAGAAAAATGAAATAAGATTTTAATTATGATTTTTTATATTGTCATATTTTAAAGTGATATTTTGGGTGAATTATAACAGTACAATAACATCTATTAATTTTACTACTAGTTTTCCATTTTCTTGCCAATATTTTACCTTATAGATTTTTATTGTTTACTTATCTTCTGTTTTTCTTGTTGTTTGTGTTGTTGTTACTAATGATGATGATGATGATGATGATGATGATGGTGATGTTAATAAGAAATAATATATAAGGAACAAATATTTCTGTTAACTAACATGAAATAGATATTCAAATAAAATCAACCCATTTCTATATAAAGACATACTGTCAAAATTTAATCTACTCATCTTCAATGACTCCCATGATATTTTTGTTTTATTTTCAACTTGATAATCTTTTCTTTTTTAACTTGGTTTGACTTGAGAAAAAAGTTTTTCACCCTCATATTATGACCAGTTTTTTTTTTTTGAAAAATAAAGTAATGTGGGTAAAAATTATATTGAAAATTAGTAGTTTGATTGTTTACTTGTTTCAAGGAATTTTGTGGTATTTTATTTAAGAGGAATAGAATTTTGTTTGTTTATTTGTCTGTCTCTTTATAGTAAGAAAATTTGGAATATTGAAAAAAAACCACGACCACACACACGCACACACACGAATGCACATACACACACATACACTTGTTTTCATGGTTGGTAATCATTTGCTTTTCTCAATTTTTCAATATCATGAAATATCTCAAATAAATAATAAAAAAAACAAGAAGGATAAACACAATACTTTGGATACATACAAACACACATGTACACGCACATATTAATATACATCGATACACATATTTATTTAATCTATAAACTTTTACAGTTTCATCTAAGCACTTCTACTCTCTAGTGTATATTCATTATGAATTATAGAGGATAAAAAAAGAAGTGAACAGATGAACTTGGAATATGATAAATGTAATATGAGATGAATATGATATTCTATGATATATCTCTCTTTTCTTTTCTTTTTGTAAGTGGAATTTCTTCCTTTCTCTTTTTTTCTTATAAACGCAACAAGAGAAAAATTTATTGACTTATGAAATTATTCGAAACCATTTTAAAATACATAAAATTTTCAGAGTAATAAACAGGAATCTAGTTAAATAAATAGCAATTTAGCGTGATATTTTGATGATGATATCAACAAAAAAATATTGTTATTCATAACACAAATAATAAGGATTAAGTGAAGTATAGTATGATTAATAATAATAGGGATGATGAATTAATAAAACGTAAGAAAAAGATTCAATTGAATTGTAGATATTCCTTCGTGAATAAGAAAAAGAAGAAAGCAACCTAATTGAACGTATTTCAATAGGTAAATATTTGGGCTACCTGT